GTGTGTGTGTGTGTGTGTGTGTGTGTGTGTGTGTGTGTGAGTGTGTGTGTGTGTGTCAGCACAGCCTCAGAGAGTTGAAAGCATGGCAACAGAATCTTAATGTTCTCTCCTCGCCTGAAACATGACGTAGCATTCATCACTCTGCCTTTTCAGAGCCTCATATTGTTCTGCAGTTTCTGAAAAAGGATGACACGAGTGCTCAGTGCTCAACCCACAAATTTCATACAAACTTGTGCGTTGTAGTGGGTTGTGCACACGTCTGAGCTGAATTTCTTATCTTGTTCGAGTTTCTGCAGGAGAAAACCTCTTTGTCTGTTATCAGGGAAGACAAGATCTTAGTATTTGCGGAGCAGCTGATTAATTTGGGCTGACCTGAGCCGTTTATTCCAGCAAATAATTGCTTGTGGATTCTCTCTGCCTGCGTCTCCAGCCTCATTAAGATTTCATTCAGTCTGTTTAAATGAACTGTTGCGTAAGAGTTTCTCGTCTGGAGAGACGTGGCGGCCGGGCTGTTTGATCAAGCTGCAGTAGTCACACCACAGTTTTTCTTTTTTTGTCTGTTTGCACAGAGACCCAAACCCCAAGGTGGAGCGGCTCTACGACAGCGAGAGAGATGACCACATGCTGAGAGTTCAGAACTTTTCCATTTTGAATCGACACCTCAGGGCATTTTATCAGGTAGGGAAGAGTCCCACAGGAGCGATTCAGTCATCAGGAGGCTAAAACATGAAATTCCCTGCAATTTAAAAAAAACACCACGACCAGAAGAAATAGCTTTAAGTTTTATCTCGTAGCATTTTCTGCACTTTTTTAGATTATATGTGAGCCATCAAATCAAAACAAGGATTAAGTCTAAAAGTTGAATGTGGAGAAATAGGCAGATAACGTGTTTTGATTAAAACGCTTGCAAAAGTTACATTTTGTCAAAATATAACAAATAAATGTGTTATCATTTCAATCAACTGTTTGAAATATTATCCTAAAATCACTTTTTGAAGCACTGGCTACGTTCACACTGCAGGTCTTAATGCTCAGTTCCGATTTTTTTGAAAAAAAATCCGATCTTTTGGTGTGAACATTCACATTACATCTTAAATGTGACCTGCATCAGACCCCTGTGTGAACGCTACACAGCACTGATGTGACACACATGTGCAGTAAAAGACGCGACGTCTCATCAGCCGGGCATGGATGCTAATTTTTGCACGTCGAATCTGAAGTTGTTCAATCAGAGCCGATTTAAATCATTAACTGACGTTTGTTTAGTTCAGTGTTTATATCTGAACCTGCCTCTGACCGGGATGCTCCAGTGGAGCTTTTTATTTTAACAAAACTACGAGCTGGAAATAAAGTATAGACTGAGTAACTTTAGGATCGATACTCTCCACGACCCAGGCTGGATGTTACTATCTACATGATGGAAAATAAAAAATAAAAAGAAGAAGTAACTGGACTTGTGTTTTGGAGCTGTAAACACATGGAGCTACAGATTTAAACAGCGAGACTTGAGGTTAGTGTCTTATCGATCCTTCACCCCATCCTCCTGATGAAAAAGTCAGATGAATGTGACATGAGCGTTCACACTGCAGTCACTTTGAAAACATCAGATATGTATCCGATTTAAAACCACATACTGAAACGGCCTGGGTCGGATTTGAAAAAATCAGATTTGTCGCGTTCAGACTGTCATAAAAAAATCGGATATGAGTCAGATGGGTCAAAAAAATCAGATTTGGGTCCCATTTGCCTGCAGTGTGAACGTAGCCACTTAACCAAACCAAAAACCCGATTTTGAGGAAAAATGCCTTAAAATGTTGAGATTTTCCCTGTGAGCTATCAAAGCTTTTGTTTCTTTCCAGCTGGGAAATCTCAATATTCAAATACTATTTGAGGTTTCTTTTTTTCGAATGACATAAAAAAAATCCTCATTAAAATGACATAAAATTAGGATTTAGACCAAATATTTATAGTAAGTAAGTAAGTAAACTTTATTTCTATAGCACCTTTCACAGACACAAACATCACAAAGTGCTTCACAGAAAGCAAATTAATTAAAAATAAAACAGATCACAGATATAAAAACAACAATTAAAAAACAATAAAAAGCACTTAACTAAAAGCCAAAGCCTGTCTGAATAAAAATGTCTTAAGATGTTTCTTAAAAGAGTCAGTAGAATCTGAGCAGCGAAGGGACAGAGGGAGAGCGTTCCAGAGCCGCGGGACCACCACCTGAAAAGCTTTGTCTCCACTGGTTTTACAACGGGTTCGAGGGACCACCAGCAGCATTTGATCAGAAGACCTCAGAGTCCTGGATGGACAGAGAGGCTTCAGAAGGTCCAGTATGTATTTGGGGGCCTGACCATGAAGTGCTCTGAAAGTTAAAACTAAAATTTTAAAATGACTCCTCAAAGTCACAGGGRGCCAGTGCAGAGAGGCTAAACCAGGTGTAATGTGGGCTCTCCTGTGAGTCTTTGTTAATAACCTCGCTGCAGCGTTCTGCAGACTGAAGCCGAGTCAAGGAGGATTTGTTTAAACATGTAAAAAGACTGTTGCAATAATCTAAACGAGAAGAAATAAAAGCGTGAACAACCATCTCTAGTTCCTTCTGTGACACAAAAGATCTCAGCTTTGAAATGTTCGTTAAATGATAAAAACAGTTACCAACTAAAATTTTACAAAGGCTGTCAAAAGACATAGAATTTATGTATTATTGTAACCAACAAGACAAATTAAATAATATCACTGGATCTACTAATGATATCAGGATGATCTAAGTATCAAAATGTAGCTTTTCTGAAAATATAATTAGGTCATTTTGACCAAATTTGACTTAATACTCATTTCGATGTGATGGGTTACATATTTTAAACGGTTTCATTAGGGATGCACCAAATGATTGGGCTGAAACTGGTTACCTGACAAACAAATCCTCAAAATCGGATTGTTTTTCCTGAGTTTTTTGAAAAGCAAATAGCTACTTTTCCTACTGAGGAGTTGGCAACAGTGCATGTTGTCAGTGTGTTATTTTTGATCATGCTTTAACAGCAGATAATCTTGGACGCATATAACTTCGTTATCTAAAAGAAAATCAGTATTGACAGGTCGGAGCTATTCATAAATCTGACATCGGTATCTGTCCATCTCTAAGTTTCACATCTTTAGTCGGGCGTTTGAGGTCAGAATGTACATCTGCATCATTTTTAGCCCCACTGTTAGAAATACAAAAGAGTCCTTATGAGTCCTTGTATGTTTTTCTTCAGTAACGCATATGACTTTTAATCACGCGTCGACAGATATCACGTTGTTTGTAGCCGGCGTGTCTATCAGATGAGCACACGCTGTGTGAAAAATCAGTGGTGGTAAACCTCAAAACGAGGCAGTTTTGTTCCCCTAAAGCCTGACACCTAGTCCCTCGTTTGGTTTTATGGCTTCGCTGTTTGACCCTCAGCCGGCGGGGGTTAATGGAGGAAGGGAGAAGTGTTGCGTTTGTAGGTGGCGAAAGCAGAGGGCGGCTTGTAGCTGAACTATCAGTGGTTGCAGAGGAATATTTCGCCTGAAGATGTTGTGTAATGTTTGAGGTGGGGGGGATGAGGGCACGTTTGCACAAAGAAGAAAATGAAACCTGAAATTTATGTCCTCAGTGGACACGTCTTTCTTATTATCAAGCAAACACGGTGAGAGGATAAAAGCGGAGGAGTTGAAGGAACATTTTGTTTAGATGTCACTCAAATCGCTCTGGTTTCATGTGTTTCACAATGTGTGTTTGGTGCCTTTCAGGAAGTGACACAATTCTTTCTCCGGCAGATGACTCAACAGCCTCTGTTGTCGACCCAGAGAGCGTTCCCTGAGTAGTCAGGTGGACCGAGCACGCGTCGCCGAGCTCGTCACACAACACAGGAACACTTGTTTCAATCGGGTTTCGCTTCCTTCATTCGCGGCGAGTCGCTCGTGTTTCCACCATGAAAGCTCAGAGCTTCACAAGACAAACAGAGGAAGCTGGTTTCTGTCGCACCAGAATTTCACCAGTTGCTCTCAGAATTGGCTCCACCGTCGCTCCGAACGTTTAGTTCCAAATCGATCACAGTTTTACTTCTCACACTCGCTGGTTTGCTCTGTGTGTATGTGTGTGTGTGAGTCGAGGAAACAGCGTGAAGCAGGACAAGTCTTCATTTTCTCTGCTGTGACCTCAGCTGAGCTAATTGCAGATGTTCAGTTCTGCAGGATGCGCTCATGTTTACTGTTTCAGTGTCATTTGGGAGCGGCTTTAATCCGTCACATTCACTCCCTGCATTGTTTTTGCTTTGGTTTGTTTATCCTGAGCTGAAGAATTTTCTCTGTTCAAATGATGCACCCACTTCCCAACCTTCACGTAATGGGATTTTAAATGTTAATTTCACCTGAGTATTAATTTACTGAGCAATTGAAGAGCTCTGCTGTTGCTGAACAATGATTGTTTCTTTTTAAGGTGACTGAACATCCAATTTACTGTTTCTGCTAATTTGTTTCACTTAAGAGCGTCTCCTCGGCCATTAAAGGAAAACAATGAATTTTAGAAAAGAAAAGAAAAAAAAGTTGCAGATGGCTTTTAATTCTCTCTAACTACAACCAGTCGACTGAATAAAATCAGAGGCACTTTCTGTGGGACTAAATGGGTTTTAGAAAAGTTCACTTCAGGTTAGCTGTTATAAAAAATGTATCTGTGTGTAGAAAGAACTCTTCCAATTCATATGTAAAACTGCTAATTCAATAAAATATCTTTAAAGTAAATGTCCTGCTGCGGCATGAAAGTATAAAAAATATTGGCATAATGTCAGGCCGTATTAGCATCAAAGTGTGAGCAACATTTTAGTTATAATTTGAGGGCTGGATCTGGATACTAAATGTAAAATGATTAACTGGGAAAAAAAGAAGGCTGAAAAGCTGTGTGTGACAACAAAGTTATATTTTGCATTAGTTTCTATGTTCTGCACAATATATGGGATAAAATAATTAAATGTTATGTTTAGTAAATTAGCTTTGGAGCAATCGCTGTAAATATATATATGTATATATTAGCTCAGGAGCTAATGCTTTTTTTCCCCTTACCTCTAGAGCTAACTATATAAATATACATATTAGCTTGAGAGCTAACACTATTATTAGCTATGGAGCTAACTCTAAAATATACATATTAGCTTGAAAGCTAACACTACATTTATTAGCTCTTGAGCTAACGTTATATGAATGTACACATTAGCTTGAGAGCTAACACTATATTTATCTATGGAGCTAACTCTAAAATATACATATTAGCTTGAAAGCTAACACTATATTTATTGGCTCTTGAGCTAACGTTATATGAATGTACACATCAGCTTGAGCGCTAACACTAAATTTATCTATGGAGCTAACTCTATATAAATATACATATTAGCTTGAGAGCTAACACTATATTTATTAACTATGGAGCTAACTCTAAAATAAACATATTAGCTCGAAAGCTAACACTATATTTATTAGCTCTGGAGCTAACTCTATATAAATATTAGCTTGAGAGCTAATACTATATTTATTAGCCCTGGAAGTAATGTCATTATATTGCCATATATATTGCGCTTTGTGGTGTAAATAACATGGTTATGTCTGAATGTTACAGATATTTTTTTTATTTATAAAATCTAAACCTACATTATTTTTAC